GAGAGAGAGGGGGGGGGTACTTTTTGTATACAGTACACAGGGTTAAATAAATATTTCCGAAGAATCAAATAATTGTTACAAGAGTAGATATTCTTTTTTTTTAAATAATTTTTAAAGTAAAACATATATGTCCTGTGCATTTGAAAAAAAAAATGTAAAAAAAATAATTAAAACACCATTGAATTTGTCCAGGTCGGACGGCCAGAAGCTATACCCCCCTCCCTCCCCCACCGGCCTTTTTAAAAAAAAAACCATCACCAACCTCTCTACCACCACCACCACCACCTTTGTCTTTCACCACCACCACCACCTTTGTCTTTCACCACCACCACCACCTTTGTCTTTCGGCAAGCTGTTTTGTTTTGGTCGCGCCGGTCATCGTCGTCGTCCTCGTCGTTGTCGTCGTTGTGGTCGCCGCACCGCAGATATCAAAACACATCCTGACCTTTGATCTCTCCCTCATGACGCGGTCGGGGGGGGGTGTAGGGGCGGGGGGATGTAAATCAGGAAGGGTGGAAACATGGTCCAGAGGCAGTGGTAGTGGTGGCGGCGGCAGTGGCGGTGGAGGAGGAGAGCGCAAAGGCCGAGTCTGGACAGGGCGGCATAGTTGGGTTCTTTTTTACCTGATTGTCCACGGTCCACTAACACCTTTTGTAGGTCACACCTCCCCCTGGTGTGCCGTATGCCGGCGATAGTATCACTGATAACAGGCGTTAGGATTTGGGGGGGGGGGCGGGGGGGGACGATGCCGGCTGGCGGCAAGCTTTTCTTTCTCTTTGTTATTAACGATTATTATTGTTATTTTAAACATCTAACGTGATTTTTTTTTTTTTTGGGGGGGGGGGGGGTTGTAGTTGAGGGCCGAGAGCATAAAACTGGATCATCAGTCTGGTGAAAGTTCCCTGTAGAGCTCCATCGAAATAATTTTCATTCGCTTAGGACTTTAAAGTTGATGACCCATCTCTGGGTTAGTTGAAAAGCCCTGGGCTCACCGCGACGACTTAGTTAAGCCCTAAGCTCACATGTACGACTAAGCGAACTTACCAGTTTGGAGTGTATGTGTGGAGATCTGCTCGGCACTTTTGCGAATAAATACAGCTTCTTCTTCTTCTTTTTTCTTTGGAGACTTATTTCTGGATTGCGTGTTTTGTTATTTCATGTCGGCTTCCGTTGTGTAAACAACACTGAACACTTATTACAGATCACCTTTTCAAAACATTGTTTGACGTATATCCGGTCCAGAACACGTGACTTGCAAACACGAGAACAGAATATTTTGGATCATCCCACTTGACCTTGACAGTGACTTCTGGTGTTTCGAAAGGTGAGTAACAAAAGAGTTCTTTAATTTTTTTTTTCATTATTCAGTGAGCCACCTTTATTAAGTCAACAACTTTATTAAATTAATAAGTCAACGTTATTAAGTCAATCTCGACATTAAAAGATGCGACCAATTTCTTACTGTCTGTCGCCTCATTGGTGAGATTAAAAAAAAGAGAGTGAAACAATTATCTAAAAAAATAAAAATAAATAAAAGTGGACTACAACGTTAAAGGAAAGTGGGTCGAGTATTTTGGGACCCAAAATATTTTACATATTAACATACTCATTTTTTTAAAAAAGGAAAGAAGTGTGTAGGAGGAGGAGGTTAAAATGTATATTTTAAAATAAATTTCGGTGAAATTGACCTTTGATATAAATTATTTTGATTTTCCAATCATTACAATCATGATTGTTAATTTGGTCTCCCCCCCCCCTCCCCCCCCCCCCCACACACACTTTTTTGTGTTGCTTTTCTAAAATTGAAATATCAATTAAAAAATCGAATCTCAAGAAAATTGAGTAGAGATGGCAGCCGGAGGTAACGTTCGTGTGGCTGCTTCATGTTGTTGAATGAGCTGTGCGAGTGCGCCCCGACAAACTGAGTCAGTTCTCAACAGGGCGCCCTCATAGCAAGCTGCCACCCTAGCAGCGTGCCACCACAGCAGCGTGCCATTACAGCAGGGTGCCATTACAACGGGGTGCCATTACAACGGCGTGCCATCATTGCAAGCTGCCACCATAACAGCGTGCCACCACAGCAGCGTGCCATTACAACGGGGTGCCATTACAACGGTGTGCCATCATTGCAAGCTGCCACCATAACAGCCTGCCACCACAGCAGCGTGCCATTACAACGGGGTGCCATTACAACGAGGTGCCATCATAGCAAGCTGCCACCATAGCAGCGTGCCACCACAGCAGCGTGCCATTACAACGGGGTGCCATTACAACGGTGTGCCATCATTGCAAGCTGCCACCATAACAGCGTGCCACCACAGCAGCGTGCCATTACAGCAGGGTGCCAAGTGCCATCATTGCAGGCTGCCACCATAGCAGCGTGCCACCACAGCAGCGTGCCATTCCAACGGGGTGCCATTACAACGGTGTGCCATCATTGCAAGCTGCCACCATAACAGCGTGCCACCACAGCAGCGTGCCATTACAGCAGGGTGCCATTACAACGTGGTGCCATTACAACAGGGTGCCATCATTGCAAGCTGCCACCATAACAGCGTGCCACCACAGCAGCGTGCCATTACAGCAGGTTGCCACCACAACAGTGTGCCATCACAACAGTGTGCCATCACAACAGGGTGCCACCATAGCAGCGTGCCACCATAACATAATGCCCCCTCCCCAATATCGTCTGATGCTTTTACCTCAGGCCATAAAGCCAATGGTGCAGCTTGAATTTGTGACGCCCGGAGAGTGTCATTATTTAGCGGCATTCCCTCCAGCATATCATGAAACATATAATCGTTTGCAGTGGCGTAACTTGTGGGTGCTCTGGGCGTGGACCGCACCGTCAGAGGCTTTGACCCGAAACAGGGAAGTTTGTTCAAATACGCGAACGAATAGAATATCGAAAAGCATGTTATTGCATAATTATTTAATTTTACAGTTATAAAACTTAAGCCATATTGAGCATGCTTATATTCTGGGGTTGGGGGTGCATTTTCAAGAGTTCTCCTTGGGCAGCATTATGCCAAGGAGCCTCACTGCCCCACTGACAAGACTCACAGTCCAAGTCTCCTAGCGGTAACGTGACAGAATGAGACCCCCGGCTCCTCTGATAAAGCGAAACATCCCTCAGCCGTCCGTGTCGCCATCCTACGAGTTGCGTTCAAAGAATGTCCATAAACTCTGGATCTAACATTTCTTTTAACGTGTGGATTATGCAAAGCTAAATTAGATGGGTAAATTAAACAAATCCTAAACACAAAAATTTGCTATTTTATAAGAATCCGACTAAGTGCTTTCCCCCCCACCCCCCCACCCCCCCACTCTCACGCTCGCAACCGGCCAATGTTTTATCACGTCCCAGAACTTCATTACTATTCTAATGACCCATCCACTTTTACACCGCCGATTTATTTCACCTGCCTTTCAGACAAACCAAAGAAACTGTTAGGCGCCAAACGCACTTGCGATAACTTTTTTAAAAAAGAATCTCATCTTGCACAGTTATCGTGAATTTTATTTCGTGACTCAACTTCGTCATATTTTCTTCATTTTACACTTTTAAAATGTTGTTTTTTTTTTATTTTTTTTTTTTTTTTTTTTTTTGGGGGGGGGGGGGAAGGGGCCTGAAATTTAAAAGAATGTTTTGTCATCATCAACGAATCTATGGGCCAAGTTTCAGCTCGATAGGTTGGAGGGAAATGGGTTAATTAGCCGTCCAAAGATTTTGCCCAGCCGCGATAAAAGAGCGAAGTTAATAAAAGGATTTATTTTTTCTTGTCGTGTTTAGTTAAAATGATGTGTAAAAGATAATTTTAAAGACGTTATCCTTATCTATTCAATGTATAATGAAAATGTGGTGCTGAGACTTAAAAAAAATATTTTTTTTCTTAAAAAGTTACAAAAATGGAACGTATAATTGTTAGACTAATGTTAACTTGATTTTTTTTTTATGTTCTGTGTCTCATCTAGACAAAGCTCGATTGACGTCATCATGCGCCTCCGCCACGTGCTGACCCTGCTGCTGCTGCTGCTGCTGCTGCTGATCTTCAGCGGATCCTGTTTCTCCGCCACTCTGCCGTCGGAGATTCTCTTCCGCTTGCTGAAGCCGGATGATGACGGTATGAGAACCGTTGTGCGGAGCAGACCCGCCCCGGCGGACGACACCCCGGCGGGCAGCTTGATCGAGGAGCCCAGCAGACTTCACGACCCCCCGGCCGTGGACGTCCACACGCTTCAGAAACTTCTCGGGCACGCCTACGATAAGGAGTACATGTCTCACACCGATCCGACACGTGCACCCGCTCAGAAAAGTTTTCCCACGCTAGTCAACGGCAGAACCAAAGGACAACGGCCGAGTTACCTGAAACTTGTAAGACGAGCGAGGCTGCAGGACGGCTCGAGGCTGAGGCTCCACGTCAGCAAGAAATCCATCCGCAAAATTGAGAACTACATCTGGGCGGTGACGTCGTGCCCCGTCATGCACACCTGGAAAAATCTGGGCCGCCGGTTCTGGCCCCAGTGGATCAAGGAAGGGCGGTGCTCCAAGAAGATCTCGTGCTCGATCCCAAGTGGCATGCACTGCAACCCCAGCGCCACCACTTACAAGACAATCCTGAGGTGGCAGTGCCAGGATTTTGTCAGGAAGACCCAGTGCGACTGGATACATATTAAATATCCGGTCATCACTGCCTGTGCCTGTTCGTGTTAAAAGAACCGATGAACTCCATCTTGGCTGAAAACTGAGGGCAAGCTTCACCAAAGGCTTCTCTATCGCTTTTCGCTTAAGCAGCTCCTCAAGCACAAAAAAATTCTACTGAGTCACCGAATAAATTGTAAAGTGTGCACTTTTTGGTGCGTTTTCGAAGAGTACCTCATCGGAGCCTACAAAATAAAAGAAGACATTACTTACAAGACAACACAAACATTGTTGTGGAAAAACCCAAAGGCCTTGGAGGATGCCTAATTAAATTTGCCTAATAAAACTTACAAGAACCGACTTTGACTTCCGGTGAAAGCACGTGATGTAAACATTTGGGTGGTGAGAGTATTATTTGGAGTTGTCCTGGCTTTCGCTGGATGAATGGATAATTTACATTTCGTCCAACACAAATGACATCCAGACATCTGATGCCAGAACGAGTCTCACGTAGATCATGGACTTGATGTAATGTGTTTAACTTCATGGCGACCTTAAAGTGTGTTCACGTTGATAGTGCGTGCATATATCTTACACATAATGTTAAGATTCTATTAATTATACATAGAATATAGTGTTGCAATTATGCGCACTGATCATTTGATTTTTTTAAAGTTGAGAATGTAACTTTACGACATTACTGAATGTAAATTTGGCACCTGCCATAATTTTACGACATGGTATTTTGAACGTGGACGATGCGTGTAATGGAATGACGTAACGACGTGTAGTGTAAAAGATTGGTTTTTTCACAGTGTGAAACTTTGCACTTTAACAGATTTTAAACAAATATGTACTAACATCTATGTAATTTTACATTTTGACAAAAGATGCTATTTTACGACATTGACTTTAACGTTGCATCTCTGACTAATAGCCATTTTTGTTTCATTAATGTGAAAATGTGTGGTCGATTTTATTGCACTCCAGCGCACATTTCCAGGCCCAAAATAATAACTGGGTGACTAGCAGTTAAAAGTCCCAATTATTTTCAGAACATGTGTAATTTTCACGGAAACAAAATCTTAATAGCATAAAACTCTACGAAGCTAAAGCATATAATAACCCGTGACTCATGTGCCTTCCATAAATGACGTCATGCTATCTTTGCCAACTTGTTTTAACAACTTAGTTTCCCAACTAGCCCATTGTCTGTTTGGGTTGGGCTCAGCACAGTTAGTTTATATATATATATATATATTTTTTTTTTTTTTTTTTTTCA